CATGCCGTCGTTGATAACACACAAAACAGCTCGTTGTGCATCTTCTTCGTCATGTTCTTTTTTCTTTTTATAATTTCGTGTCATTATGACTGTAAATACAATACAATATTAAACCACTTAGGTACTTAATTTTCATAAAATAAATACCCATGTTTTATTTATGTGCACTGTTGAACATTTTATTCAAAAGCAATTTGACCACTTTTAAAATTTTTTGTTCAAAAGTGCCCCAGTGTTTTTTTTCAAATCTGCCCCAATACCGACCTTCAGAAATAAATATTCATAGACGAAAAACTAACTTGTGTTTAATGATCTTATATTTGTAAATACTGAGTCCATAATATATGCAACACTACAATATAATCACAACTCGAAAATAATACTTACTTTTTCAGAAATTTGCTTACAAACAAAAAAATATTTGTTTATTTTTTTCTTCGTAAAATAACCGGCAATATTTTTATAAAATGACACTGACATTGACGTTAGTTGGGACCTGACAGATGTGTAGTTTGGTATTATCAGAATTAAAAAGGTAACCTACTTAGGTTAGAAAAGATGAAGAATGCGTTCATAAATCGATTGTTTCAAAACTGCCCCTGTTCTAAACTGCCTCCCTCTCCCCTACTATAAATAACCAACTCTAATACGGATGTAGACAGTAAACGTTAATATTAACGTTACTATTTTTTTTTTTTGTAGTGTTTAATATTCTATAACCGAAAATCAAACTTCTATACTTATTATATTTATAATATTGCTTAAATTAATTATGTTAAAACAAATATTTTATACTCGTTGTCATATGACCGCAAACAGGGCGTGACGTCATTACGACGCCATAGCAGAAGTTGGCGTATACGCGGGAAATTCTGTAAATTAAATTTATTTTTAGATTTTTAAGGTATTATATGATTTACACTTTAAAAATATCTTTTAGATATGTTTTATGTATATTTATAAAATAAAATTATAAAAAAAGATTGGGCACGGGTTGGGTGACAAGGAATGATTATTTCGAGCTTTGTCTCGTTCTATTATTAGCAAATTGGAAAATAGCCGTTACACAGAAGTTTCGCAGACATAGACACAGTGTACTAACGGCGTCATAGACTGGACGAAAATGTTTTTATTTTGTGCCAGTCACCAATGAGCCTACAGAAAAATGTCTAGTCAAATGTAAAATACCTACTCTCAAATGATAATTTTGAAAATAGAAATAAAAGCGTCGATCTCAACGATTCGACAAAATTCATGCATTAAGTAAATTCTTTATGACGTAATTTATTTTTTGCAATCTAAGTAAAAAGTAGAATATAACACACGGCGGTCACGGCGCTAAAATCAAAATTAAACCAAATGAAAACCCATTACACCTCGGTAAAACTACCTTGTAATATGGATCATTTGTATAAATAACAATGTAGGTACTTTATAATGTTATATAATTAATTTTAAATGTAATAAGCTAGTTGACCTTATTTTTTTAATTTTATACATAAATAGTCCAATAATATCTGAGAAATAATGCAGAAGTAACAGCATGTCTGTCGGCGTCTGGGCTATCTTTGTAATGTCGTTGTTATTTGAGCGTTTATGTTTATAGCTGTTGTAAAGTTGTATGTTTTCAAAGTGTAATAAGTTTTTTTCAAATAAGCATTATAAAATTTATTTTGTTAAATGTTTATAAGTTTAATGGTTTAGATTTACTGGACATATAACAGAAACGTGTATTTTCACTCCTAGGACACAAGCCTACTGCTACTGTAGACGACGGCAACGTACGCCGCCTCCGTTATCTTCGAACAAACAAGTCGAACAAACGTCGTACAAAATGATGAAATCTCGTAGCTTCTCACGAAAGGAAGCTGTTTATACTACAGGTATGTCTTCAGAAGTAAAAATAAATCAGGAAATCATGTGTGACGCACCTTCTTTGTATAAAAAATCGACCAATAAAATCGTCATCTCCACCAGCACGCAAGTTGCAATTGGAAATACTAGCCGCTGAAATGCAAGTATTGATAAGAAACATGTTGATAAAAGGCTGACCCCTGATTTAGCAGATTTAAAAAGTTACACAAGCTAGTTCAGTACGGTGTTCAAATAGTGACATCAGCGAATGGATGGATCGCAATCAATGTGAGTTAAACCAACATATTCCTAACGATTATGGTAAAAACAATAGGTCGCCGCATGTGATCGCTGCAGAAGTGACCTCCGGCACTGATGTAATTCATCAGTTGGCTACTGCACTAAAGGACCTCGCCAAGTCAACAGTAGTCACAGATACTATTACCAATCTGATAAATAGATTGAGCACGTCGAAAGAGTTTCCCTGGTTTTCTGGGGACTCCATGGAATGGCTCCAGTTAAAAAAACATTTGTTGAGTCAACTGCGATTTGCAACTTTAGTTCCATAGAGAACCTATATCTCATTTTCAGTAAAGGTAAAAAATGTCCCATCATCTCAAGAGAAAAAAAAACTACGAACCTCGTCATGAATTTCCTGCAACGTTTGCTGTTCATCAAAGTATGAGATAAGTAACGAAAATTGGTGGAAAGAAGCTGGAACCATTGCCTTGCCTGTCATGCTCAATCAGTGAAAGAAGAGCTTATCAATGACACTGTGTAGCCATCGTCAAGCAGCACTGTCATGCGGCAAGTGCCACTCGGACCGTGTACAATCACGGGAACTATTTTTATGAATAGATATTTAAAAACACTTACAATTAAATTGGTCACCATTTCCACCGACAGTGGAAATGTGGAATGGCGGTGATGCGTCCGAACACTCACCTGTACATTGTTTATTTACATATATTTAATCGCTATTTCTCATATTAGAAACATCATATTGTAACAAACGGTGGTGCTTGACCGCAATAATTCTTATCGGCGCAGAATATGTATTACGATCATGGCGCGTCAATAAACATTTAAATTATACCTATAGGTATCAATACGCTTTACAAAAGACCATCTATCTTTTCGTGGCGTTTTTTTGTTTTTTTTTATAATCCGAGAGTGCATGTTTTGAGACATGGCAATATTTAAATGTATCACTTTCATTCTGTATATTTAATAATGTCATTCCTGTCTATAGTGAATTCCCTGCGACATCTGCCCTGCGATTCTGTAAAAATCCAGACCCGATTTCGAATTCGCTCATGTGTCCGGATTCACGTTATTGAGTGTAGAAATTCTATTGATTCAATTTTTTTTTTATAAAAATACAAAACAAAATTGTTTGAATATACGTGTATCAGATATTCTATACTATTCCACGAAAATACTTTACTTATCCCACGAAACGTTCAAGGTTGAACGGACGTCGCTTTTTGAATTGAATTCAGACACCTGAGTGAATTCGAATTTGGGTATGGATGGTCCGAATATTTAGTAAATTTGACGTAGATACTTTGTACATTAAAGTACTATAGAGCGTTCGAATCTATTTGTTTGATCCTGAAATTATACATTGAAATTGACATTCTATTCGCTTTGTCTTACTTCAAAATATAATAAAATTATGTTCTTTTTAATTGCTGATTGTTTTTGTGTATACAATTTTATTACCATTCACTTCCAGTGTGAAAAAATATTTTGACAGATAGAAGCGGGATAGCTTTATCCTAAAAATACACCTTACCCTAAAATGTCGTTAAATCCTTTTTCCTAAACCTATATTATAGAAAATAACTCAACTTTCTCAGCATTCAGAAACCTGATGTAAGACAAACGCGATAGGATTTATTCGCTTTGACATAAAAAGAAAGCCGTCTTTTATTCTTAACTTCTGAAGAGTGGATAAGTTTCTTGCACTGATTCTTCTTGTAAGCCAAATAAAAAATTATAAACTAGATGTCCCATGTGATATCTAAGTAAGTTGACTCTACCAAAAGTAGATTTTTGCAGGAAACAAATGGACAAAAGATAGTCATATCCGTTTCTTTTAACTAACATATTAAAAATTGAAATTTGCAAAGTACGAAACTTAGTTACGCAAAACAAATACAAATACGCAAAATTACAAATAGGATATGAGTTGTTTATTGAGTTTTGAAAATTAATTTACTTTTATACATGTAAGAAAACCAAAAGTCATAAAGAAATCAAGAAAGTATCGTAGCGACTTCTGATTTGATTTCGGACACAGACTTTTTTCTCTTTGGTAGGTATGATTTCGGAGAATAATGTCTTTATTTTTTAAAAATCTCATTCTTTATTAGGGATGCATCAATATATCGGAAATCCGACATATATCGATTTGGAAGAAAATTGCATCAATAGATAAATATCATAAAACCAACATATCGAAGCTAATGTCAAATAAAATCCTAAGAGTAAATATAAATCAGTTTTCTAAAGTTCTCCAGAATCCAACGGCATTTTCACGAGTGATATGACATTAGTAACATATGTGACATTATTTTGTAACCCTGATCTTTTTGCATTTAAATTTTAATATGTTTTTATTATTATAATTTGCATTTCATTTCTCCTGCTACTGCCTGGCTACTAAGCCTGTTTCTAGTTCATGTAATGTTTCATCCTGCACGCGTAGCATGATGATCTCGAAAGCGTTATGTTAACATCCAAATGTCACCTTTGCCCGATGCGCTCATACGATATTTCACTCTTGACCTGAGAAGCGTGACGTTTAATGTAGACAAAGCATTCCTCGACTTTGCCATTCTTTGCGTGCTGCTTTTTAAAAAAGGCGTTCAGAAGACATGATTTTTGGTTAGAATGGGAAAATGTCTTATTACAACTTCAAGTAGATTGCGATTATATAGAGAGAATATCACTTTATTTTGAAATTAAGTACAAGTAAATTCAGACTTTTTAATTTACTTAAGACCCAAAGCATATATCGATAAATATAGATATATCGACTTTGTGAAGCGATATCGACTGTAACCGATATGTATCAAACTCGATATATCGATATTTTTAAGAAACTGTATGTCACCGATGTCTTATTTTTGATACAAAGTGACTGTCATTTTTGGACTTGATATTTTGCTCGAGTTTTTTATTATCAAGTACGTTTGCGAATGTTTGTATATTGGTGACGATTTTAAGAACCTCCTCAATTTATTCTTGAGTACTTTTTTAAAACCAATAAATAATTTGAAAACTACCGCTGTCCGGAATGTCTTTCTTCTTGAAACAATTAAATCGCAAGGTTAGATGTCTCCTAAACGTGAAAGGATTTAAATATTAAATACGATTTAAATAACATATCTAAAAGGTATATGTTTTGCTTGTAGGTAATTGCACCAGTTATTTCATCAATAAAACATGCAAACTTTTCTACCGGTAAGTGTTCATAAACAAATGATAAATAAATGAGGTTACATAACCTCTCGTTATTGTCTTATTCGCCGAATCCTATTTTTCCGAATCTAAAGTTTTTTACAAAAATAATGTTTAAAGATATTGCTTGAAATATGGTGTTCATTTGCCATAACTGGTTTAACTTATTTCGCTGGATACCCGACATGCAATGTTTTTTTTTAAATTACAAGAATTTATTAATTATAGAATTTTTAATTACAATTGCATTTGAATAAAAAAAATGATAATAAAATGTCAATTAAAAATTTACATTGGTTCATTAATTAAATCAACACATAAAAAATTACATAATATAAGAATTGTGTTAATGTCTAAAAAAATATTCCTTTACAGTATAATTGGTTTTTGGTACCAGACATGTATTTAAATTGTTTATATGGGTTAATGTTTGCTTACTTAAAATTTATTTAATGAAAATATGAAAGTAAAGCAAATATCATCTTTGTTCATAAAACAATTATGATGAATATAAAACAAAAGATCTAATTTTGAATCTAAGCCTAATCTAGATTTATTGTTTACAGCTCCTGTATCATTTACCCCAAGAGTTCAGAAACCTGCTCCACAATTTGAAGCTACTGCTGTTGTGAATGGCGAATTCAACAAATTAAAACTATCAGATTTCTCTGGGAAATATGTTGTACTACTATTCTATCCTCTTGATTTGTAAGTATAAACTTTTTAAGTAACAGAATTATAGAAGCCTTTGTAGATTACTGGCAGTACTTTCAGCACACACCACTAACGAATTTAAAAATAAAACTGACAATTTCATGAAACAGAAATAACAAAAATTCTCTTTAATAATAATAATGATGTTATTATCTGGGGAAAATAGATTTTATAATAATTTAATGATGATAAAATGTTATATAATATACTAATATTATATATTCCCAAATAAATGGATTTGTCCCCTGGAAATATATCTATTATCAAATTAATAAAACTGACTAAATAATCATGCTCAATTGTTGCACTGCCTAGTTTAATGAAAAATTCCACCTTTTATTAAAAGTTTCCTTACATAACTTACTATTGTAGTTATTAATATTATTCATTAGTTTAATTTCTTGCCTTTTCAGTACCTTTGTCTGTCCTACGGAGCTTATAGCATTCAGTGACCGTGCAAAAGACTTTGAGAATATTGGTTGCCAAGTTATTGGTGTATCCACAGATTCTGAATTCAGTCATCTCGCTTGGATCAACACCCCAAGAAAGGTAAAAATACTAATAACACTGACAAGAGGGAAAACAACTTTATGGCCAAACTTCCTTTGTGATTAGGCTCGAAAGGAAAGAGGGGATTCTTCAAAAATCGCGAAATTATCACATGTTTATTTTTTCATCAATGTGTGATTAATAAACTGAAAAGTTTCAAAAATTTGAAATTTATTGTAGGTACTAAAATATATAACTCAGATAGGGAGGGGGGGGAGGTAGTCTTAAACGTCACCAGTGGGGAGTGGGGATAAAAAAAACTTAACTAAAAAATCAATGGACAGCCCCTCATAATAATGTATCTATCACTTGTTATAAAAAGAAAACTTTTCTTAACTTAAATATAATTATTGGTGTTACCATTTCAGGATGGTGGTCTTGGTAAATTGGATATCCCTCTATTAGCTGATTACAAAAAACAAATATCTCAAGATTATGGAGTACTCCTGGATGAAGGGTTTGCTCTACGAGGTATATTTTTCTTTATAAACATTCAACAAAAACAATGTTTTCTTGTCAAACCTTTTTTTATTATTTGGAATAGGAAAGCTTATACTTCAGAACAGTTCTTACATCTATGGTAAAAATAAATGTCATTATGTAGACAAATGCTTTTGTGAAGTAAATGGGTGTCCTTACTAATAGTGTAGTTTCGGTAATGAAGAATAAGTCGTGAAATTGCATAGAAACTAAAATTTACATTGTAATAAACATAGAGATTCTTTTTTTAAATCATAATTTATCATCTGTCTGTCACGCAACTTAAAACATGTTCTGCCACTGTGTGATGTCACTATGGCATTAAATGTCAGATTAGTCATAAAGATATACCTATTCATTATAAATCAAATTCCTAGGTGGCGCTGTTCTTAGCTTATTTATATATTAGATATGTGTGATACCTCTAAGTATTGGAATGGTCTCCTAACAACATTACGTGATCTAAAAACAAAAAACACACTTAGAAAATTATTCAAAAAATATCTTTTTATGTTGCAAAATCAAACTCTTATTGTTAAAATTGAATTATGATATGTCTGTGAATTAATGATTAATTTTAATTCCAAAAAAAATTTCAGGAATGTTTGTAATTGACAAAAACGGTACCTTGAGGCATATGTCAGTTAATGACTTACCAGTTGGCAGATCTGTTGATGAAGCTTTGAGGCTGGTCAAGGCATTTATGTTTGCTGACAAACACGGTGAAGGTGAGACAGTGCAAGTTCTACTAATAATATAACATGAAAGTATGTGTTTGTTATATCTTCACTGTTAGTCAAAAATTATACGTTAATTTTCTAAATCATCATAAAAATATTATACCATCTCATAGATATGTGACAATCAAAAATAGTTGTGGTCTCTGATTCTTCCTTGCATTAGAAGATACATTCCACCATTGGTACAATTTACATTTTCACAGTTGTTAATATCCATCGACCCATACTTGGTCCGCATAATTTCCTATAACAGTGAGCCAAATAAATGTTATAATGTGATTGATATGGTTGATGAGCACTCATGCACGCGTATCATTTTTTGCCACGTAAAATTTGTTTATACAACGTGTAATAGAAATAACGCACATCCTTATACACCCCAATAAGAAAATGTATTTACAATCATTAAAAGAAAATTGGGATATTACTTTTATGTCCTAAAACATTGTTTATGTATGGACACAGTTATACTAATTGCTTGGTAACAGTGTGGACATCTTACAAATCTACACAATGACGTTAAAACTACGGCTTAGCCTGCAACTACAAAGTATGTACCTCCAGCGCAATACCACAATGATACCACTTACCTACCAATAAAAATTCTCGACATGAAATATTATTCTGTTTCAAGATTCAAAGTGTTTTTTAAGTTTAGACAATAATTATGATTCTTGTTATGAGTATCGGTTAGTCTTAGCCTAACCCTTAAGAAATTCGATGTATTTACTGCATGTTAGTATAGTAAAGAATCATCGTATGTGAAATTGCAGATAAACTTAAATTGCAATAAAATAATCATCCACTACCAGTGTCACATATGTCATGTTTATTTGTGGTATATTATTTTTCTCTTTGTTTATGAATTATTTTGCTCTTTGGTTTATGAACTTGTGCATCATAGCGCTTAAGAGCATTTTAGACTTAAGCACATTAAAAGAAATCTCATTTTTCTTTGTTTTTTGCCTATGTTGTATTTTATTACAAGGTAAGAATATAGTGCATTATAAAAATCTTATTACATTCACTTATGATTATTTTTTGTTAGAAGTTGTTGAAATCGAATCAGTATCTGATTTTAAACAAACTGCTTTCAGGATGTGCGTTAATTATGTTACACATTGTATTATGTTGGTTTTGGCAAATGCAGGGAATTAAAAGTCCCTGCTCTGACATGTTTCTTTCAACGCATTGTTGTACTACTCTCTTTTTTATATTAATCATTTCCTCTTTCCTGTTACTCCAATACTTAGTCATAGGTGTTTCATGAACATTCATATTGTGTAATTGTTGTGAAATAAACTCAATTGAAAAAAAATCTATTGATTGGTACTGATCAACACGCATATAATAATTTCATACAACTTGTTATATCCAAGTAACTATTAGTATCACAAAATACAGTTCTAATTTAAGTTATGCAAAGTCTATCATATTCCCTAAACTGACAATAGCTGGACAAAGGGAGTAATATATTTATGTTGGAGTAAACTGTTTTACAAGACAACCTGAAATATCATTACATATTTTCAATCATTTTATTTCAATTTTTAGTTTGCCCTGCCAACTGGAATCCAGATACCAACGCTGACACAATAAAACCCAATCCTAAGGAAAGCAAGCAATATTTCCAGAAGGCCAATTAAATGGAAAATGTAAAGATGTTTTCTATTACTTCCGCTAGATGGAGTACTGGTGAGTTTTTGATATATTTATTAGAAATGAAAAAAATTTTTAGCGATAAATTCGTTTTGCCCACCCAATGTGAGCGAGAGGTGTATCTATCTATCAAACACCCTCAAATCGCAACAATTTCATTAGTAGATTAGAAATATTAATTTGGAATAAAATAGAAATAGTTTTGAAATTTGATCTAATGAAAACTCGATTCTTTTTGAGATTAGACATTTTACATAAGTGTTTGAACTTAAGAAAATAATATTATTTATGATCACTTGTTTCAGATAATTGTTTTGATACAACAGCCTATCGATAGCAAAGCTATTGAAACTAGGCCTTGAATGATGTAGAACCATTATGGAATTTACGAACGGAGTGCATTTATTTTAAGTATAATTATTATGTGCATAAGTTATTAAGATTATTTGTTATTAATTTCACAGCACATGATCACACTATTTTTCCATAATATATATTTGGTTACAGAATCGTTTCCTCATTTAAGTTTCCTATAACAAATTCTGTAAAAATTTACTCTATGACAATGATAAATGGTAGTATACTGTGAGTCATCAGTATATAAAGATGAATCGATACCACGTTCGATATTTAATAAAAGGATCGATGTTTGTGTTGTGAGCACCCAAATTACTTTGAAGAATATTTCTAGTTCAGCAAAAAAGGATAAACGCAAATTTTTCTATTATGCAATGTCATGATGTAGGCATTACATAGCTGCAATGCCGACATCATGACATCTGCTGATTCGATAATAGTATTTTTATTCGATACTGGTACTCACTATGAATGATTACTCATAGTACCTAGTATCGAATCAAACGTATCGACACCAAAGGAGTCTTTAATGTATCGATCCATCCCTATAGGTATGGTAACAAGCCTATACCCACAGAACATAGAGAGAGAATAGAAGTATAATGATATTGATTTAGTATGGGAACCGAGTGTCGCCTCTTCGCACACTAATACAGATTAGATGAAATGATCATTTTGTTCACTACATGAAAAACTGCCACGCGATACGTTCGTGATAACATAAACAGAATCCCAAAAAGATACTAAGCTAAGAAATCACACGATTAAAAACAAACTCTAATTCAACGTGATAATAAATTATTTACTTTAACATGAATGTTGAACTGTCACGTGGCTGTATACGGGGATACCAGAAGGGAAAAAATATTTTAAGATTATGCACATTTTGAAAAATTGGGGACATCATTTTATGTGCGGACTATTAAGATTAGATTTTGCTGTAACCAAGTGAATATTAAAAAATAACGCTTTTCCCTATATAACTTCTTTTAAAAAACGCAGTACAAAAACTAAGAAAACTTAATGATAAACTCTATCATATGTCTGTGGAGTAATATAATTAAGCAAGGGAAAGTGTAAAAAAAACAAAAATTAAGAAACCAACAGAATTTTTGTATTAATTACATTAAGCCTAATTTGTAATTTTTTCTTACTGGTATCATTCCGATTGTGCATATTAGTGATGTGACATAATAGTAGTTGATGAAATAAGAGGTTTAAATTTTGTTATGAAACAGTAAAATATAATTCAGTTCGACAATGTTCTACAGTGGTTTGATAGTAATTATTTAAAGCTTAATTCAAATAAAATGAAATACATAAAGCTTGCATTACCTAATGTGAGGCATATTAATACACTTATAAATGTAAATAGTGAAAAAGTTGAGTTGGTGAAATCGACAAAGTTCCTTGGTATTACACTAGATTCCCGACTGCAATGGGATCCTCATATTGATAATTTGTCAAGTAGACTGAGTTCTGCAGCATTTGCTGTTAAGCAAATTAGACTCTTGACAAATGTTGAAACGGCAGAATTGGTATATTTTAGTTATTTTCATAGTGTAATGACGTATAATCTATTGTTGTGGGGTTCTGCGGCTAGCATTCAAGATATTTTTATTCTACAAAAGAGAGCTGTCCATGCTATATATAATTTACGGTCTAGAGAATCTCTCAGAGAAATATTTAAAGAAATAAATATTTTGACTGTTGCCTCTCAATACACCAATGAAAATATTATCTACGCAAGAAAACATTACGATTCCTTCACAAAAAAAAGTAGTGTTCATAATCATAACACAAGAAATAAAAATAAACTTGCCGTTCCAAGCTTCAGACTTCAGAAAACCAGAGGATCAATGCATTTACATTGCTATGTTCAATAAAGTTCCACAAAATGTAGTTGACCTACCCATAAATAAATTTAAAATTCATGTAATGAACATACTTATGAGTAAAGGCTAATAAAAAGTTGATGATTATTTTAAGAATCGCAATGCATGGAATGAATAGCCATCGCTTTGTTCTATAAAGACTAATTATATGTGCAACCTATGTCCTACAGACTTTGAAAGTTGTATTTATTATTGTGATAAGATATGAAATAACATGATTTAAATATCATAGGGCTATAAATTTAAATATCATTTATGTAAATATCATAGGGCTGGTAAGTTTCTTTCGCTTGTTCTTCTTGTCAGCTAAAAGACGTCCTGAACAAGTGGTAGGGGGAAAAAAATTTTTGGATGATTCAAAAGTGCTTGTAATAGCCCACTTGAATAAAGATAATTTCATTTCATAATAACTAATATGATCATTACAATAATAAATTGATCATAGCCATGATTGTTTTACTTTATTATTCTAAGTTTTATAACTGTAATAATAATAGTACCTACATTTTTAATTGCAACGACTGGACAATAAGGAATCGCTGGTCAAGTATGAGTTTGAAAGCCGTGACAAAAAAGTTTGAAGACAGACACAAAAGCGGTAAGTACGTACAAACGTCAATCTACATAATGTAGATTGACGTTTGTACGTACTTACCGCTTTTGTGTCTGTCTTCCACATCCGTTTGAGACATGCGTTTATAAACTTATGTGCAAATATGAAGCAACAAAAAAACTGATAAAAGCTGTTCTGTGGGCGGTTCTTTAAAGTGGCTATCTTAACTCGATTTCTATAATAATGGTTTCCGATTATGAATCAGCATAACAAAGTAAATTAAATTGACGCCTATAAATTAATTTTGTAAATTTAATTCACACCACCAACAATATTACGTTAGTTGAAAACATGATTTTTTGTTTGTATAGATATTATGTTGTTTTGAAATTCATTTGATAGGTTTAGGTTTAAAACGGATAGGACAAAATAAATTATGTAAACAGGGCAATCCGTTGTAAAGTTATTAGGGAAACTGAAATATAAGTAATGCAAAATAAGTGAAATCCAGTTTCACCAGTTTCTAATAAGACCTATTAGGCCAACACTCGTAGCTTTTCACGAAGTTTCGTTTGATTTATATATTGTTCATAAAACGTTGATATAAGGTAATCGACCCGGTCATGGACAGTGCACCAATCATGAACATATTACCATTACATCGCCAATAACTACAAAATCTGACTATTTTTTTTTTTCAATGGTAAACTATATGAATGTGTTTATCCAATCCGGAGCTCAGAAATTTTTTTTTGACAGCTGTCGGCCATATTAACAAAATAAACTGAATATGAATACGTGGCTCCGACGATTTCAAAAAATATCCGATCTTTTAGTAAGCATCGTGGCGTAGGTAAGTTTAAAAATTAATTAATGTTAAAGCCGGTAAAGTTATTATGTTGAATGAGTCATTATTTTGTGATTTAATAGTATATTTAAGAATAGCCTACAGCTTGATATATATCAAAATGGTTATAGTAATTTACAAATACAGCAATGTTCATCATTGGATAAATAAAAGTGTTACTTACCAGTCATGAACAATTTGGGAAATTTTTAATTTATTATTGCTAAATATTTAAGTAATGTTTAATAATGTTAATAAAAAATCCTAACGATTGTTATTTTACGTAACACGGTGATGATTATTGAATTTAAAAAATGGCATGTTCATGATTGGGTGATCATAACTGGTGATGGTGTTGCTAATTGGGTGTCCATTACTGGCAACTATCAAACTATATGAATATTTTTTTTATTCATACGCTTTATTGTAGAAATGTTTTATTATAGATTTACAATGTGATTAGAATAACAATATAATTATCAAGGTGCTCTTTCGTAATTGTGCTTGACAATTTGACAGACCTAAGTAGAAGAATCAAGTAGCCATGTGGAAGACCGAAAACTCAGGACATCATCTTAAAAAAAGCTAATTTCGCTCCTTATTTGCAAGTAGCTATTGAAAAATTGTCTCCAGATACAATTAAAAATGGATTCCGAAAAAGCGGTCTTTTTCCTTTTGGCCCTGAGTATGTCGACATGTCCAAAATTAGTGCTGAAAAACGTATTCCAGCTAAAAATAATAGCGTAACAGAACAGGCAAATTCCGTAAAAACTTTGGAATCAGAAATCACAAACATATTTTTGAAAGATAAATTGATATTATCCAAATGTACTGGTCGCAAAGGACTGATGTCGAAAATCTACTGCCAAATGAAGATTTATCATTGTACGTTTTATGGTCAAAAAATAAATACACACTTTTAGACAATTCATCAGTTGGAACACGTATAGATAAAAGAAATATTATATTGAATTCCAATACACAAATTGAAAAGTCAATTTCATATCCAGAATCAGAAGCTACTAATGAACCAAGACAGTAGGTTTGTGATGAATAATCTATCCCTCAAGAACATGAAACACCGCATGAACTCCCAGAAGTTGTAAAGCTAACAGATAAAAAAGGTTTGATTCAAAATTACAATTCGCAAATAGAACAGTCAATTACAAGTCCACGATCAGAAGGCACTAATGAAACAAAACAGGTTATTGTTGAGGACCTCGACCCTAGAGAAAAATTACCACTAGAACTTGAAATTCCGCACGAACTTCCACAACAAAATGTTTTTCAACCAAGCCAACAAAACTTGAGCACTAACAGATCATCCGGTGCTATAACCTAGCAGCCAGCTCACATGACACCGAGTAAAACTACCTCAACTTCTCATATCGCAAATAATCCCATCCCAGCAGACTATATCGCACCCGCTAAAAATGTTTAAGCACCTATTAACCCATCAACATCAACCTTTCAAAAGAACTTCATTATTCCATCTCCATTCAAACGTGCCTTGTATTGGCCAGAACCTGAAATAAAAGAACTTACCGTCAGCTGTTACAAGCAATGCATGGATGGCCTACATGAAAAAAAAAGAAAATGAGAAAAGACAAAAGCAAGAAGCAAATGAGAAGCGAATAAAGGCTAGGGAAGAAAAAAAGGTGTTAAAAGAACAAATTATTCAAAAGAAGATAATTAATATAGAGAAAACAAAAAACCGTAAGAAATCTACAAAGAAAATAGTAAAGCAGAGACAAGTTACATCGAGTTCTTCTTCTGATGAACCGGGAACAGATATAGAATACCAGGAAAGTGAATGTGATGAAGAGTTCCTTGATGATTACCATGAAATAGAACT